AGGAGAATCATTTGAACCCGAAAGGAAGAGGTGAGCTGAGATCACACCACTGCACTCTAGCCTGGACAACAGCGAGATTGTCTCAAAAAAAAAAAAAAAAAATAATAATAAAATGATGGGTTACATTTTACTACATAACCATTGTAGTTTAGCAATGGAACTACACAGCTATTTTAGTTTAACAATGGAATTACACAGCTATTTTAGTTTAATAACAGAAATATCATAAAACTGTTTATCATAAAAATAAATTCCACTCACTCATTTATTGAATTTAGTCAGTACAAACCAATGCTATAAAACATACCTTTGAGTAGTCATCAGACAAAATTTCAAAGGTGACAACTGAAAAACAAGAAATAATAGAAAAAATACAATTATCAATCAACATTTTAACAATGCAAACTTGATGTAAAGATTCTAATTCAACACAGAAATTATACACATACCAGTTCTTTTTTTCTGCCTCTACATAAGAAGAAAATTGCCATATTATATTGTCCCAGAATACCAACAAAAACTTAAAAGCCTCATAATTTCTCAATACATGTCAACCAGATTTGTTGTAGAACTGAAGCAAATTCACAAAATGTAATGACTTCTAAAGTTTGTCACTCTTTCTAAGATGTTGAAATCAAAATAATTTTAAACACTTTCAAATATACATTAAATTTTAAAAGTTCTTGCTTAACAAAAAAGATAAGTCATTTTTACCCATTCATAGTCTACCCGATAAACAAAAAGAGCGAAAAACAGCCATTATTAGTGGCACACAGAGTTCCTATTGTTTTCAATAAACAAAGACGTAATAAGACTCTATCTCTATGGGGGGAAAAAAAAAAGAAAAACAATTAGCCAGGCATGGTGGTGCACACCTGTGGTCCCAACTATTTGGGAGACTGAGATGACAGGATTTCTTGAGCCTGGATAGTTGAGGCTGCAGTGAGCTGTGATCACAACACTGCATTCCAGCCTGGGTGACAGAGAAAAATCCTGTTTCAAAAAAATAGAAATAAAAAATAAAAACAAAGGGTGAAATAAGTTGGGAAACTATGCATATAATTCCACAAAACACGTATCCCATTAACTCCTTTCCCCTCAATCCCAAACACTAGGCAAACTGATAAAAGCACTTCAACTTTCCCATTTTGTTTTGTTTTGAGATGGAGTTTCACTCTTGTTGCCCAGGCTAGAGTGCAATGGAGCAATCTCTGCTCACTGCAACCTCTGCCTCCCAGGTTCAAGTAATTCTCCTGCCTCAGCCTCCTGAGCAGCTGGAACTACAGGCATTCACCACCATGTCCTACTAATTTTTTTGTATTTTTAGTAGAGACAGGATTTCACCATGTTGGTCAGGCTGGTCTGGAACTCCCACCTCAGGTGATCCACCCACTTCGGCCTCCCAAAGCGCTGGGATTACAGGCATGAGCCACTGCACCCAGCCGAACTTTCCCATTTTAACTTGACTTCTGTGTTATTCAGAATTCTAAGAATGACCCCCAGCGACCTTTATCCTTGTATAACCCCCTTCCCCTGAGGGTGTGGGCAGAAACTGTGAATTGATGAGACACTGCTCCTGTGATTGCATTACATTCTATGGCAAAAGGGAGATTTGTAATCATATGAGCCCTTTTTTTTTTTTTTTTTTTTTTTTTTTTTTTTTTTTTTTTTTTTTTTTTTTTTTTTTTTTTTTTTTTTTTTT